GTTCAATATTTCATTACCGGAGTGACCAGTATCGAAGAAACCACCTTCCCATTCACCACCATCTTTGCACAAAAACGAGGGCTCGATTGGTTTCAGCTGGTCGTATAGCTGTGCGATTGTGTCTTCATCGATTTTTCCGCCTTGCTCAGCGAGTTTTGCGAAGACTACTTCTGGGTTGCTATAAGTACAGTCACTCGCAGTGCAAAATTTATTTAACGTAGGTTTTTCTACGCACCCTGCCATGTCAGTATGCACTAGGCCTTCAGTTGAAAATCGTAAATGAACAGTTGGAAGAACTTTTTGAAAATTATGGTGAATGCTCTGAAAGGAGAAGAAGAACGGTGGCGTATGCGTTTCATCGCTTCCATTTCCGATTTTCTATGTACAGGGTTCCCAAAACGTTTTTGCCCCGGGGATAGAACTCAAACGACAAATGATATCAACATTGAATTTCATACCAAAAGAAAGTTCATCGAAAATAGGATTTATCTATGCTAATCAATAAGGACTATAAATACTATTTGTTGTTAAATTTTTAAAATTTCTGGAAACTTATGAATCACAGGCTTGGCAAAATGTTCTGTCACAGGAGAAAGACTAAACTAGCTGGGATTTAAAATTAATAAGCGTAGCAAAGTTATGTTTATTTTTTATAATTCACTAAGCCATACAGAGTAAGCATAACTTCGGCATGTTCAGTGTTGTTATAACACAACTAATTAGTTTGATCTCTTTCCTGTGACAACATTTTGTCATGCCTGTGATTCCTGAGTTTCTAGAAATTTTCAAAATTTGACAACAAATAATCTTTATCGCCCTTATTCATCTCGTATAGATAAATGCATCTAACTGCTTATAACTTAGGAGTTCCATAAGCGACAAAACATTTTCATTTATAAAAGATCACGTTCATCCCTAAACACGTAATTTAAATGAAGTAACAAATGAACTAACACAACCTCATGCATTGAAAGATGATCTTCCGATTGCCACATCATTTTTAAAAACATTCTTAGATTCTTATCAGCATTATCTCAAACTTGGTTTACGCTACTCTCGAATTTAAAAAACTACTTGTAGTGCTCCAAATCAGCCAGTAAGTAATATTTGCTATCATATCATTCATTGAACTTGTTATATAGAATGTTCATGTGAGATTAGAATTAATATAGTATTGGCATGAATAGCTTTAATATTGAGGTATCGGGTTTGGTATTAGTCATCTGGTATCAGTGAGAATATTTATTTTAAAAAAATAAATTTCTCACACTTTCTTGTACATCTTCTAATGTTTATTTCGCGAAGCTGATCTTCTGATATATTGTTATAATTGATTTAGCATATATCGTTTCCTAAATCTAAACAAATAGTAAAAAAGAAATATATACGTAAATATAATGATCAAAATTTGCTATATATGTATGTCATATATCACGAAATAGAAACTCGATGACGTTATTGAGAAAGGTCATTTTGAGAATATTGAAATAGATGCTTGTACTCTTCGTGTTTTGTTTACGAAGAACTTAATCAGACATTTCGGTAATCATCGGATTACCTTCTTCAGTATAGATTTTACAAAGGAGTTTTCTTTTTCTCTTTTTTCTTTCTTTTCTTTCTAATACTGGTATGAGAACAAGATAGTCAACTGGACAGAATGACCACTATTTGTCATCGTCATTTTCTGTATCAGTATTAGAAAGAGAAGAAAGGAAAAAAGAAGAAAACTCCTTTTCTGATCGTAGGGTCATCGTGTTCAAAGTTTGCGATACATATAAAAGAAGAGTTATATACAGCTATATTTGTTGTTGTAAAATCTACAATGAAGAAGGTAATCCGATGATTTGATTACCGAAACGACTGAATAAGATTATTTGTAAACAAAACAGGAAGAATACAAACATCTATCTCAATATTCTCGGCATAGAGACTCGTACATTTTTCAAGACTCATACCAATAGTTTTGTTCATATATTTTCTATCTTATACTCGATTTTTTTTCGCTTATGAATCATGCTTTATACTTTCAAACAAATTGAATAAGTTTTCTGTATTACAAATGGTTTAGATGAAATGCAGCTTGGGTTTTTTATAGGCCACGTAAGTAATTCGGGTACAGAATTCATGGAATTAAGTCACTGTGTGATTAAACAGCATTGTTCAGAATTCCACTTATCAGTTCCGCCTGCGCTATTGGTTTCGATAATGTTCAACATTACGGAACAGGATGACTGCTCCGAAATTGAAAGGCTTAACATGAAACTCCTGAGAATATCGAATAACGTCCTCTCGACTCCCTGCCCGAGATCCCGGAAAATAATGGAACTCGAGCGATGTCGACTAGAGCTCTGACATTGAGTGATGATTGAGATCTTGGTATTGGGAGGAATTTATGTTGGAGGCGAAACTGATTCCAGAAGGTTCAACAGCGTCAAAAATGATGACTGCTCTAGAATTTAAAGAAGCTTCTTTTTCAATTCGGTTCGATTTCAGACTTTTTAAAACAAGTTCAGTTTTGGTTCATCTCAGTACACCTCAAACTTCTCTCGATTTCAGTTCGGTTTGAATTTTGAAAAACTTGAATCGATGTAATCTCAATTCTGAAGTCGTAAGATTCTCCTACTTCTTCATCGACCACTGTTCTAAGGGGCCTGAATGATGTGTTCTTTTTCCAAATTATCTCTGTTTGTATAATTTATATTTTACTAATACAGACATTAAACTGAAAATGCAGTAAGTTTAAAAAATTCAGTCCGATGAAGTCTTTGTTTGTCTCAATGAGATTCTGGATCTTATACGCATTTAACTTGTTAATGTATGATAATTTTTTCTATTATTATATGCTTCATGTTTGTTTAATTCAGAAGATAGTATTCCAGAGATCTATTTCATTAGTTATTGAGCTTAACATCAGCTGAATAAATTTACAACGATGTAAAGTGTTAAAAAATGAAATGCTTAATTTCTCTGAATAATTTTCTTTTTGTGTTTGTTCATAAAAGATGACATGTATGTCTTTAAAATGAAAAATTAACTAATTATGAATATATATTTTAATCATAATATTATCAATTAAGTAATAATTATTTGATACTTAGTTAATCTGCAGTAACTTCGACACTATTATGTGAGGAACTTATAACTTCATCAATTTTGTCTGACGGAATTACAACTTTGTCAATCCGTCGGCATGAGATTTAACATAAAGCAGTAGTCATCAACTTTACGCGCGAATGAGTGTCTTTCATTGCAGTCTTCACTATTTATTATGCTTGTTATTTATTCGTCGTGTTTGTAAACATACGTGAGGAACGTTGTTTCAAGCAAGAGGAAAGACGAAACTGCGTCCACGTGGGAATACTAATAGTGAGAGCACACTTGCGTCTACGAAGGTCGATAGAAGAAACACCTTATAACATATATATTTCATATTTCTTCTCATCATATACGATTCTCATTTTTTATCCCAGTAGTGTACAGTTTTAATAAAACATTACTTTACTTGCTACCATTCGACTTAAAATTTCAATTCATGTCAATTACAAAGATTCTTACGTGTACAAGTCGAATCTGCATACACCATAAGAAGCACAACAGAAAATATGTGATAAAAAGATAAGAATGCAGAATGAGAAGAAAAAAAAAACAAGCATTTTCTCTTTCTTATCTCAAGCGACAACAACATGACTAATGTTGACGAATACACGTATGAAGTAATCAATAATTAAAATGATGTACGCCTGTATGCTCGACTCATAGCCGAAGAATTCACTTCGAGGAATCTCTTAACTATATTCGATAAAATATCACCCGAATAATTTTTGAACGATTATCATAGCCATGGATGGTAGAGACACTCGATCAACGACTGTAGTTTCTTTCACAACACCGTTCTTCTGGCAAAATCGTCGTACCAATCATTGGGTGTGGTTGTGTATGAGGCTATGAGTCTTCTCTTCTAGCACACTTATACCTACAACATTTTTCAGAAGTTTTTCAAAAGGTTTCTGGTAAACTTCAGTTTGTTAAGGTAACGTAGTTCTTATTTTTCAAGTTTGAGATGTCTAATCTATAGCAGAAACATTTCCATATGATTTTGAACGATGAGAAAAAATTTCTAACTTTGTATCTGAAAAGTTGATCTGAAATGCCGAAAGCTCCGAAATGGCATTTTCAACGTTTTTCTTGATTCTTGGACCTTTTTTAAAGTGAAATCTGTAAACGTAGTGTATATTTGGAATCAACTTGTAAAGCGACATCGAATAATGTGTCTTTGAGCTTCATTTGATGACTTTCATTGCTTTTTTTAGCATAAACATAACATGGTACAAGGGTCGAGAGGATAGGACGTGGGTGTGGGTATGCTAAAAGACAAGATTCATACTCCCATACACACCCACATCCCGACTCTTCGGAAATCGGATGAACTTCCAGAAATTAAATACCCTTCTTAAAAATAGTGAGAGTCTTTAGGAAACTAAATGAGTTTGCACCCAAAATTATTTGGTTCCGGTGATATCAATGATTCTCATAAAAGTCAAGGATGAGGGGGAAAACACACATGCAGAATATCTCTCTCATTGAGGATGAAGGCAAAATACACACAAGGCATTTCTCTCGCTGTCGGTATGTGGGGAAATTGAATCCTTTAATATTGTCTTTCTCGTAGAGAAGAGTCCAGCGAAAATAAATTATCTGCTTGTGAGTCCACTCATAACTAATTGGTCGAAGAACAACGCGAAAGAAAAGTGGTGAACGAAGGCACAAGCAAAAAGGCGACTATTTTTGCATAAAACGTGACCAAAAGAAGGATGTGGGTGTAGAGGGGATTAATGTGAGCTGGAAGGTAGACACCCAAACCCACCCAAAATTCGTTGATAAATCGCTATTATTGGTTTGCAGATTGCATGTTTATAGTTTTAGATTCATCTTGATCTTTCTTTATAATACCATACGCTTTTCACTGATATTGCATTTCAACGAACAACGAGTCAAAACAAATGTTTATTACACTATTGCTTGTACTATTAGCTATTTTGATCACATTGGCGTTGTTGTTTGTATTGTCTATAGTTTATTTGCAATATGTTTCCAAAAGTCGCTTACGATTTTGTTATTTATCTAAAATATCAGCACTGACTTCAATTAAATTTTCTCTACTTGAGCAATATCGTCAAACGTATGATCCAGCTAATCCACAATGTCGATGTTATCCACATCATGGTACAAGTATTGAACCTCGAAACGATTGTTTTCACAGATCAGAAACATTATTTATTAGTTTTGCTGGTGGTGCTCTGCTTGTCGGAGGATTTACATTCACAGAATGGAAATCAACATTTACAAAATTTGATTTACAAGCGGACACATTATTTTTAACTGATCCTGCCCAATCATTTTATTTGCAAGATTCAACCTGCTCATGGCAAGGATTGAAATGTTGTCGATCTTTAATACAAAACTATTCTAAACTATATAAGCGTGTTATATTAATTGGAGCTTCGATGGGAGCAAGTATGGTTTGTATGTGTAGCGATCTCGCTACACTTTCAATTGCATTCAATCCAATATTAGATCCGTCATTAGCACCTAGTGTGTTTTATTATAGAACACTACAGAGATATCCGAAAACAATTATTTTGAAGCAAGTACAGACAAATATTTTTAAAATTATGAGTGAAAATCAACAATCTATTTTACATGTTCATTGGAGTGAAAAATCACCAGGTGATATTGTTCAATCAAAATTAATTTCAAATCAAAATGTAATATATTTCACTGATGTAGATAAATGTAACAAGCGTAAAGGAGTTTATTTTTGGCTTCATAATTGCAATACGCATGCTTTACCACATGATTTGAAACGTCGAGGAATTTTAACTCAAATTTTACAACATCATTTGAATGCTTTAGCATAATATTAATTCATGTTAATATAAACAAAATTAGAGAGGACCAGGCATAATTGATAAATAAAAATATCTATTCACTCTTGAATAGTTAAAATATTCTTCGTTCGAATCTTCTCTTACGTTAAAGTCATTTTTTAAAGAAATATACAGCTATGAACAAAAGTACATACTGTCTTCCCTGAAGTAACCCTTGTTGCAAAAATTTTGAGACAAAGCGTCTAGTCATTTTTAGGTAGCCTAAACGTAATTAGTGGAAATCAACAGTGGTTAGCTAAAATCAGAATTTTGTGATCTTTTCGAATATGTAATCATAATATATCTGTGACTTAGGATTGATTATGGATGAACCAAATGTTTCAAAGAGTTGAATATGATGTTTGTACAAAAAGCGTTTGCTTAATAATGGTACTTAGTACAAAGTACAGTTTTAGCTTAAGCTTTGATTCCACAGTACTACTTTCGGAAATAAATCGTTTACGTAATCTAATTACATAAGTACTACGTAAAACCTAGAAAATGGCATCCTGATTATAGACTGTTTCCACTTGATACCATCCCATTTTCCTGATTTTTAGGCTCCTCACTAGAGCTCATCGGGTTCAAAGCTTTCTGGATCTTGTCCCAACCGGGTTCGTGTAGGACCGAAAGGGCTTTACAGCTCGCTCTTCCCCTATCCCGAATTACTTCATCAGAATAATTTTTAAATGCTTTATGAAGTATGCACTACAAACGCTGTGCCATCTTATTTGAAATCTGTATGAAAAGTGCAAGTTAATCTGTATTTGCTTTTTCATAACCAATGAGAGAAAAGATATAGAGTGAATAGAAGATTCACTCGCACCTATATCCTATATGAGTGATCTATTCTTGGTGGATATCATTTGTTGATTTTCTATTCAGCTTTAGACTGGTGGGTTTTTTTCTAAAAATTAATAATCTTCAGCTGATGACTTTTACAAACGGCGAAAAATTTTAACTCCTCATAGAAACTCCTTCTATTGCTCGTAACTAGAGCCCATCGGGTCCTACTCAATACGATCGCGTTTAGCCTGACAATTTTGAGACGACTGAATCCAGGTCCAGAAGTTTTTGGACCCGATGGGTTCTATTCGTAACTCAATACGATTGATATGTTTGTTGTTATCTTTAAAGATTATGTTAAAAAACTTAAAATTTGTCCATTTTTGTGTCAGACATTAGACCAGTACCAGTACAGTAAGTACAGGTACAAATACTGTTTACTTAAAAATTGTACTTTATACTTTTACTTAAGTATATTCACTTAAGTCCAAATCTACTCAGTACGCGTACTACAGTACATTTGCACTTAGTGCAATGTACCTAAGTATATCGTACTTAAGTAAAAAGTAAAAGCTTGACTTTTCTTCGTATTTTTTTTCGATGTCAATCATTTTCGTAGTCTGACGATCTGTATTAGAAAAAACGTGAAAGTTTACATGTGCATTATTACACTTTTAAATCTTTTGATATTAAAATCGATATAATTTCTAGTTTTGTAACCTATAATGAATAATGGTAAATGAATGAAATATATATCAGAAACGCATCTAAATTAACACCTGATTGGTCAAAATGAGCAAGAAAATCTTTAATTCTTTTGAACCAAATCATAACACCGGCAGCTAAATTTTTTGTGACTAAGCAACATTTTAAAATACTTTTCTGAATTTCCAGCAACAACCAATGGCTTCGGGACGATTGAAAAAATATTTTGTGTTCGAAATTCAAAAATAGATAAGAGACGATTTGCTGAAAATCGATCACCATTGGAAAAGAGCTGCCATATTTTGGAGATTTTATACACTTAATCTATTTTTTATTAGCTATTGAAGAATCAAAAGACATGTGCACTCCACATTTCAGTATCGCAGGGACTTTACTAACAAATTTTCTTTTGACTTTAAGGTTATTTTAGAATTACTACAATGTACCATAAATAACTCTGTAAAAAATAAAGGTGTCGTAAGGGAGTCATTTGAGTTCTAGGTTTGTATACCATTTTCTGAATCCTTTTTCAGTTCTAGTCAGCAAGTTTAGAACTTGGAAAGGTTCTCGGGCATTCCGATTAAACGAGTTTTTGAGTTTTAGCACAGATTTTTAGAACTGAGAAAGGTTCATAACATGGTACTAAAAAATTTTTTCTTATGACACTTCTTTTTTTACAAAGAGACCCATACAATCTTATGAAACAAAAAAATAAGCAAAAGAAGAAACCTATAAGGCATTGTGCTTGAAAACAGTAGACAGAGAGCACCAGTACTAACGTAAGTACAAATGTACTGTAGTACGCGTACTGAGTACATTTGAACTTGAATAAATGTACTTAAGTAAAAGTACAAAGTACAATTTTTAAGTAAACAGTATTTTTACTTGAACTCCAAAAATCGTACTGGTACTTAAGATTTTTGCCTACTGAGTACGAAATGTACTAAGTATTGTACTAAGTATTCAATGTCTGTTTTATGTAACTTTACGGCTATTATGGCAGCATCATAGTGCATTCAATGAATAGAAAGCACTTAGAACTCAATGCAAAGGGAAAAAATAGAAAATAGAAAACCTAAAAGTGGGTGTGAGTGTGGATATTCTTTCATTTTAAGTGGCACACCCACCCTTCAGTTTAATAATAAAAAATTATAACTAACTCGTTCTGGTAATTTTTTATTAATTTCTTCATTATTAATACCAAATCCAAGTTGTGTTGAAATCGATGGAGAAAATACGACTATCAAATATTGGTTAAAAGATACTTAATATTTTCATGTTCTTTTTCAAATTTTTCTATTAGATTTGTTATACTTTTGACAAAATATAGACATTTTATAAAATAAGGATTTTTCTCATTAAGAATTTAAAGCTTTTGCGACTTTTTATGAAACGAGATTGAGTTTTCTTTACTTAGATGTAAACTTTTCTTATTTGTATTTCTTCACAATATCAAAGCAAAGTGCGAATGGATCTACAAGTTAAAAACAAGTACTAAACTGAAACGTTGATTCGATTTGTTTTTCGACTAAATTTTTCATTTAAATAAAACAACTTAAGAATATTAAAATCAATTTAACGTAAATAAAAATTTATTTTTAATTGCTTTTTTATACTTGATCAACATGAAGATAATAAATAAATATCAATCGATTTAGTCGAGATCAAACAACGAAAAATGACGCAAATGTTTATTCAAAGTACAGACACATGAAAAGAGTCAAACTTAAAGATAATCTTTTTATGCGAAGTCGACATCCTTTGATAATAGTCACAAATTTCCATAGAAAAGAGCATAAACGAAGATGGATATAGAATAGTTGACACCAATTGATTCGTTTGTTTTGAATGTGAATTTTTATGTTATGGCAGTCAAGGAGGGTTGCCAGATCGTCCGAATTAGTCGGAATTTTCCGAATTTCCTAAATTTTTCCGACTGCCGTCCGACTTTCCGAATTTATCCGAATTCTTGAATTTTTTCCGAATCCTAGTATTTTTTTAAAATTTCCTTTCTATTACAATTTCCCGTATAAATTTTGATAGATTTCATATGGAGCCATCTTTATTTTCTTATAATCATGGGACAATTGATTTTATTCTTACAAATAAGAAGAGAAGGAAGAGAAGAGAAGATTTAATATGATAATTTTTTCTTCAAATCTCATATCGTCTAAGATTTGTTAAAATAGCTTCAATCAATGTTTAGTTTTCAAAGAAGTCATATAAATAAATAATATCTCTAAAAACCTTAATCTAAGTGTAAATAAATATGTCGTTTTGCATTTTANTTCTAAGACAATCTGGGAAATATTTTTCTGACTTAAAAGAATGTTTCATCATATTTGAGTTAATTATTGGCATTCATTGAATTCGATGTTGACTGCAATGCCTTTTTTCTTAGATTGGTACTTTTTACTTGAAGAAAAAGAATGGTAAGCTCAATACCTTCAAAAAAATGATTTTCTATTTATAGAAGTTTTTGTTTTTTATATAATAATAATAATAAAGCTTAATGCGAAAAACAGACTATGCCAAGCATTGCAGCTTCATATGTTGTAACAAACAAACAAAAAATCAATTAACTAATAATGAAATTCCTTCGAGAATTCTAAAAAAGCAGAAACAAAGAAAAAGCTTATAAACGAAATGCTAAATAAAAAAAAAATGATGTCGTTTAAGGATAACCAGATCTCTGGCTATTCTTCCATACATTTATTTCAATTTTTCTCACGCAGATTAACACTTTTTTTTTTTAAACGAGCCTTACTTAGTCAAATTCAAATTTAGTTCGGATATTTCTGAATGTCATGAACTTGTTTTCCTAATGTTGTAACTTTTAGATCACTTATTTCATGGTATGTAAATCTACTCTAATCAACTCTTTAAATTTTCCTATTGAGTTACTTCTACTTTATTTTATTACTTCACTGAAAATAATTGCAGTTAACATCGAATTCAATGAATGCCAATAATTAACTCAAATATGATGAAACATTCTTTTAAGTCAGAAAAATATTTCCCAGATTGTCTTAGAATATTATTAGCCTTTGATCTATCCGAGAAAAACAAGCTATTATTAGATGTCTAGATATACCTCCTACAATATTAGCGAGACTTCCTTGCTGTTCGTCGGCGCCACCAAATCAAATAGGCAATTATTGTTTTCGCTAGTAGTTTATATTTATCATAATAAAATATAAACAGCATCAAATTTCTTTATGTAATACCAAGAAAAAGTTCGTTTGGATCAGATTTATTATTTATATGCTCTGATGATAATTGGTAAGTAAGTAAACAAAATTGTATTGTTGATGGGAGTTAATAAACATATACAGAAACATAAAACTGTTGGTCAAAGATCCAGCAATCAGATGAATTTACGACAAACATATGATAATATGTAATAGAGTTTCATATTTTTTATTAAATTAAAGAAAAAAATGATAATCTTTTAAATAACTGTTCATTGTTACATGCTTATTTAAATAAAATCTATCTATTTTATTATATTTTATACATGTGATAATGTCAGAACATATTTAAATCGTATTGATTTATTAGTTTCGATTATCAATAGAATACATTGTTGGTTGATGAATTCCAGTTTCAACGAATCCTCTTCGTTGAAGTTTATCAATAAGTCTTTGTGCTTCTTCTGGTGAATCAACATAATGATGTTCTATTTTTAATTTATTAGTATCACGTACTAAATTAATCGATTTATCACTTTGTTTTATTCGTGGTCTTGTTTCTGTTGTTGGTGTTGTTCTATTAGGGTCTTGTTGTTTCACCGGTTTTTGAGGTATTGGTTTCTTTTTAATAGGCATAGGTGGATGAGCATAAGGATAATAATTTAATATAGGTACTGGTTGTGCTTGATGAGCTGTATTTGAATTTCCTATATGCATCGGTTTATAATTCAATCCGGGCTGTTTTTGATGATGATATGTATGAGAATCATTCCGGGGACTATTTTTCTCTTTACTTAGATCCTGTTGACTTTGACTTTTATTTCGTTGATAATTTTGTTCTGCAACATGTCGATTTTCCCATTTTAAATTAAAAATAGATTTATCTGAATTTGTTAAAAATCTTTTTGTTGTATTACTATTTTTTGGTTGATATTCATAGGATCTTCTTGTTTTAGGTGTTACATCAATTAAATATGTTTGCTCCTAAATAAATTCATTTTATAATAAATTAAATTTTTTAATAAACCATACCTGTTGCATAAATGTCATGTTGATGTTATGTTTTGTCGTTCTTCTTTTCTTGAATTGATTCTTTACAAAATGTTTTAGTTTAAAAATCAACACACAGACAAAAGTAAATAGAAATTTTACGTAATGGAATTATTCAATATAGAAAAAAATGCAATTTTCTTCTTTTTTTTTTTTGTATTCGATAATATTCTAGAATATATTTCAAGTATTTATTTTAAAATAAAAAAAAAGAAAAAACATAAACAATAATTAAATAAAAAAAAAGACTAAATATTGATATTGAATTATTTCTTATTGTATTATTACATAAATTTGTTGAACAAAAACAATAAACTTTATGTTTAGTTTTTGTTGAACGTATTGTATGACATCCATCACTTGTATCAATATTTCGTACATTTTTTAAATAATCAAGTTCGCCTTGTGATACACATTTACGTGTTGTTACAGAACGTTCATCATCTTCAATTTGTTTTTTTGTACGTGCTTCAGTTTTTTCATATGCTTTAAGACATTTACCTGGACCATTTTCACTTTGACATTCTTCTTGAGTATATTTACTTAAATCAAATTTTTTCATACATGCTGCTTCTTTCATTTCTTGAGGTTTATCATGATGTGTACATTTAAAACATGAAAATGGACTTCGATATGAAGGTTTTCGATCAGCATATAATGGTAAAATCAATATAAAGGTCAAATATAGTAACATGAACCAATGTCGATACAACATTTTTTACTTATGGTACGATTGTTCTATTTACTTTCGTTCTTTTGTCTATGATTATTTACATTGTTCAATGACTAATCTCTTCTTCTTCTTCTTTTTTTTTTTTTTATACAATAGACATGAACAAACATTTAAAGAGATAGAGAAAAGGAAAAAAAACTGCATGTTTTATTCAAATTGTTTTATCTACTGTTACTATAGTGCAGGAAAAAACAAAAAAGAAAGATGCATCACGAAATGATTGACTGAGATTAGCCTTGTATTGTATTCGGAGAAAATATTTCATTCAATTGTTGACTAAAAAAACACAATAGAAATAAGTTAAAGAATACAAACAAAAAGAAAAAACGAGAAATTAAATACCTGACACGAATAAATGTTGTTCGTCGACTTAGTTCTTTTAATTTGCCAGCACCCACATAAGTACAACAACTACGAACACCGCCTGTCAAAAAAAGAAAAATATTCTATTTGTATATATGACTGACTAAAAGTATACACTTACCTAATATATCCTGTGCAGTACCAAAGACAGAACCTCGATAAGGTACTTCAACTGTTTTGCCTTCAGATGCTCGATATTCTGCAACGCCACCCGACTATTTATCAATAGATTTAATTGAATAAATAAATAAATAAATAAATTTCTTACATGTATATCCATAGCAGTTTTTGATGACATTCCATAGAAAAGTTTATATTTACGTCCATTACGTTCAATTATTTCACCAGTACCACTTTCATCATGACCAGCAAGCATACCACCAAGCATAACAAAATCAGCACCTATAACGAAGAAACATTTTAAATTAATCAATCGCTTCTAAATTTAGACTTCGTGCATAAGATAGATAACAGTGCGATATAAAACAAAAATCTCAAAAAGATAAGTTCTTTTAGGCTTTCTATCCAGAGAGTTATCGGTATTCTACTGAAATTTTACCTTCGGAAATAATTCTATACCAATGAATCGAATGACGGTATTTCAACTTACAAGATATCCAAGTCTCAAAAAGCATTGATATTATCTTTTGCACAAAGTTCGTATCCAATTTTATTTTATACTATCGATCAATTTTTTCTTTTAAACTTACCAGCTCCAAATGCTTTAGCAACATCACCGGGACTTGTACAACCACCGTCCTATATAATTCAATAAATACGATCTTGTTTATTTTTGAATAAGAACTTACGCTAACAATATGTCCACCAAGACCATGAGCAGCATCAGCACATTCAAGAATACATGATACTTGGGGATAACCAACACCTGTTTTCAAACGAGTTGTACATACACTACCTATACAAATACAAAATATTTCAAAAATTCATTCGAAAAAAAAAAACTTATGAATAGATAAAATATTTTATGCTTATAAAAGTCAAATTTAATTGCATTAGAAACAAAGTTCAACAATATTTTGAAATTAAAATTACCGAATAATTCTTACAGAAATAATTAATGACATTGGTGAAAATATAATCTCCGATGAAAGTTATACAAGACACAATACTTTCCTAAACGACTTTAGGAATATGAATTAGCTTATTAATTTCAACTTTGTATATTATAAAATATAAGAAAAAAACTTTTTCTAAACCTGGTCCTATTCCACATTTAACAATATCTGCGCCACTTAAAATAAGTTCTTCAACCATTTCACCTGTAACAACATTTCCTGCCTAAAAACAACAACAATACTATAAGAAAAATGTTCATAATAATTTTTATACAAATATTGTTTTATCAGGAAATTCTTTTCGAACAAGTCGAACAAATTCAACAAAATGTTCTGAATAACCATTTGCTACATCAACACATATATAATCAAGTTCTGGTATAGCATTAATAATTTCACTGAAACAAAACAAAAAACAAAATCATTAATTATTCATAACTATGAAAAATATACCGTAATTTTTTAAAATCATTTTCTGTCATACCAGTTGAAATTGCTACATTCTAAAATATTGAATATTTAAAAAAATCACAACAATATATTTTTACTTCAAGTATTCCACTATTTCCAGCAGCAAATTCTTTCCATTCTTCGACTGTATAATGTTTATGAATAGTTGTAAATAATTTTAACTAAACAAAAAAATCAAAAGATTTTTATTCTTGTTTTCTTGTAATAAAAAAAAAAAACTAACTTTTGATAATTGTATTGCCATTTCAAATGTTCCAACTGTATCCATATTTGATGCAATAATTGGTATACCATTATAAATTTTTTTACTATGACGAAATATAAATTCACGTGTTAAATCAACATCAGCACGACTTTTTAATGTTGAACGTTTTGGTCGTATTAAAACATCTTTAAAATCAAGTTTTATATCATTATCAATACGAGGCATTTTATCTTATTATTTTACTAAAATATTTATCTATAATGTTTTGAATTGTTCAAGAAAAGATAACCAAAACAAAAAACATAACAGTTATACTTATCAGTTTTATGTATTTAAATTTTAAAAAATTCTTAGAACGAATTCTTACATACAAAAACCAAAAAAAAAAACAGAAGCTAAATTTTGTATGTAGATTTTTTTATTTTTTTAAAACCAATGGTATTGGTGGCCAAATCGATCTAACTTGTGAATGTAATGATTCCGGTAACCAATTACAATAAACATCAAGTAGATCTTAAAAAAACAAATAAAAATAAAAATAAATCATTGAATTTATTTTTGATTATTACATTTTGGTTCTGTTGACCAAATTTCTTTTAATTGTGTTCGATTATCAATTTCTTTTGTAACTAATGCATTAAGAAATAATTGTGTTCGTTCCATAAGTGATGCCCATGATTTAACCATTGCATTTGATGAACATAATAATGCTGAATGAAATTGTAAAAGACGAGGACAAATAATACCATCAAGAAAATATTTTCCAAACCAACGATAACGATCAATTGTATTTATTGGAAATATTGTTTCAATTGGTAAACCAAGTGACCATGATACACGTTGACCTATGGTTGCTTTACGATGGCAAAGCATTTTATCTTGATTTTCATCATAACGTGGTTGTGGATTATCTTCAATCGGACCAAATGAACATAAATGTGGATTTAATTGAACAATCCAATCCATTTGAATCGCACAAATATCTTAATAAAATATATATATTCATACATTAGTGACCTAATTTTGCAAAATTTACATATGTTGAGATACATATAATCATACTTTAAGACCTACTATAGGTCTGATGATATATGTACTATAGGCTTATATAAATAATGATAACCAATGAGTGAATAGCCACAAGGGAAACAAATAATAGAATTCTAGTGTTTCCTTGTCGATCAATTATCCTGAAAAAGCAACTATAGTCTGTAAGAGATTTTTTTACTTGACGTATTTTGTATTAGTAATAATGAGGTTAAGGAAAACAAATGAGTTCGATATTTTATCCCTACGGAATATGTGCTAACAAGCTTTTTACATAAGAAGAAAAAAAAAATACCTTTGATAAATATTCGACTTGTTTCATGTACTTCTTGATAACAAACAAATATTGGTAAATCATTAATAAGAACTGATGATGGATGAATAAATACCGGTTCGTCGAGTAAAAGAGTCTAAATTTAAATTATTCGATTTATTGAAATTGTATGATTTTTTTTTTGAAATTTTATCTAAATAACCTGATAAGCATTATTTGCTTTATGACCATTAATCAAAACAGATCCTTCTATTCGTCTATTAAAGAAAGAAAAAAAAAAATTTTATTAATTAAAATAAAAAATAATATATATATATATATGAATTTACTTGGCTAAACGATCGACCATACCAGCTGCAATTACTTTTCGTAATAGACATATTTGTTGTTCGCTAGGTGGTAAAAGACGAGCATCAAGTATTGATGTTGTTTCTGGTAAGATTGATTTCACTAAAACAAAGTATTTTTGGTCTTATTATTGTTTCTTTGTTTCTCGAAGAAAAGTATTATGTTTACGGAATCAGATATTTTCTGCCAATCGAATACACACATACATGGTAAATAACATTCTTTTTTTTTTTCTCTGCTCGAAGCATATATTGACAGAATACAGAAAAACAATGAGAAAAAGAACGGAGTTTTTGCTATAAAGATTAGAGAGTTTCTATACAAGGAAAATAAAAATAAAAGGTTTTTTATTATATGAAAAGAACTGTCAAGGAATATTCTGATTTAATACACAGATTAAAGATTTAACAACGATCAACAATAAATCTGAAAGCTTCTTTTTTTTAACAGAATTTAACTGTTAGTAGAGGACTTGAAACCTTC